TTTTAGTAGAGACGGGGTTTCAGCATGTTGACCAGGATGGTCTCGATCTCTTGACCTCGTGATCCACCCGCCTCGGCCTCCCAAAGTGCTGGGATTACAGGCGTAAACCACCACGCCCAGCCATAATTTTTTTATTTATCTATTTTTGATAAGGAATCTCATACTCTGTTGCCCAGACTGAAGTGCAGTGGTGCAATCTCAGCTCACTGCAACCTCTGCCTCCCAGATTCAAGCAATTCGCCTCCCGAGTAGCTGGGACTACAGGTGCTTGTCACTGTGCCCTGCTAAATTTTTCTATTTTTAGTAGATACAAGGTTTCACCATATTGGCCAGGCTGGTCTCAAACTCCTGACCTTGTGATCCACCCACCTCAGCCTCCCAAAGTACTGGGATTACAAGCATGAGTCACCATGCCCGGCCTGAATGTGATGGAGAATTTACCAAGATTATGAACCAGGATCCATGGCTCACGCCTGTAATCCCAACACTTTGGGAGGCTGAGGCGGGCAGATGGCCTGAAGTCAGGAGCTGGAGACAAGCCTGGGCCACATGACAAAATCCTGTCTTTACTAAAAATACAAAAATGAGCTGGGCGTGGTGGCATAAGCCAGTAATCCCAGCTACTCCGGAGACTGAAGCAAGAGAATCTGCTTGATCCCAGGAGGTGAAGGTTACAGTCAGCTGAGATCATGCCACTGCACTCTAGCCTGGGACAGAGCAAGACTCCATCTCAAAGTAAATAAAATAGTAAAATAGACCCAGCACGGTGGCTCATGTCTGTAATCCCAGCACTTCGGGAGGCCAAGGCAAGTGGATCACTTGAAGAGTTCATGACCAGCCTGGCCAACATAGTGAAATACTGTCTCTACTAAAAAAAAAAAATACAAAAATTAGCTGAGCATGGCAATACACACCTGTAATCCAGGTTACTCGGGAAGCTGAGGCAGGAGAATGGCTTGAATGTGGGAGGTAGAGGTTGCAGTGAGCCAAGATCGCGCCACTGCACTCCAGCCTGGGCCACAGAGACACTCTTAAAAAAAAAAAATAGACCAGGCCGGGCGCGGTGGCTCAAGCCTGTAATCCCAGCACTTTGGGAGGCCGAGGCGGGTGGATCACAAGGTCAAGAGATCGAGACCATCCTGGTCAACATGGTGAAACCCC